CTTCCCATGCACTTCCAAGTTAATGACATTCTTGACATGGCAAATTGGCAGGGCAATAAGATCAGAGGTGCAGAAGTGCTTTATTATGTAAGGGAGGGGCCTAAGAATTCCAAGACATTATTGATTCTAATTCTCTAAATACAACTGGAGGAGTTAGATGTAAAAGGATTGTTTTCAAAAGAATAAAGTCAGTTTCCCATCTATTTACCCAGTAATTTCCAAGGTTTTTTGTTTGTTTTCACAAATATTGGAACTGTGGTACCCAATAAAACACAATGTATACATTTTTATTGCAGTAAGATATGTAAAAATCTACCATAGTAACAATTTTAAGTGTACAGTTCAGTACACTAAGTACATTTGCATTGTTGTGCATCCATCACTATCATCCATCCCCAGAACTTGTTCATCTTCTCAAAGTGAAATCCCATGTTCATTAAATAATGCCCCATTCCCTCCTGCCAATAATATCTGGCAACTCATAGTCCATTCTCCATCTCCATGCACTGACTTCTTCTCTAGGTACCTCATATAAGTGGAATCATACTATCTGTCCTCTTGTGACTGCCTGATTTTACTTATAATGTCTTTAAGCATCACCTACGTTGTAGCATATGTGAGAATTTTCTTTTTAAGGCTGAATAATATTACATTGCACATGTATATAAAATTTTGTTTATCCATGTTGATAGATACTTGGGTTGTTCCCACCTTTTAGCTACTGTAAATAATGGCACTATGAACATGGGTACATAAATAAAGCATGTATTTTTATAAGTTCTTCCCATCAAGCAATGAAATAAATTCATAATTTTGATAATTGCACTTTATCTGTTTTGTAACTCTGAAGAGTTGTACAATAGAATTTCTTAAAGTGGGTCACACCTGTATTCTTTATTGTTTCAAAACAGGAGGATGCAAAGAACATCTATAAATGTCCATTTCACACTGAGGTGAAAAGGCCTATTAGTTTACCAGTGAGGAAATCATTCTCTAAGCACAAATTACACATACATCTGTCAAAACCCACAGGCGACTCTGCTCTCCTGTGTTGGTCAGAGACAGTGCCCTGCACCTGTCTTTCTGAAAGGACCCTGTCCTTCCCCACCTCTGCCTTGGGATGGCCAGCCTAACCCACCTTCAGTCCCTGTACTAGATCTTCTGGCCTGGGACTGTGGCTCTGTCATCAATGGAAGTAATCAAGAACTTTGTCCCTCTCTAAGGTTTTCTGTATTCAAGAGACTTTGAAATCAAGAACAAAAACACTAAGGTCTTTTCTTTTTGCCCCACTTCTCCTCTGACCTAGCTGTTGCCACCCTAGTGTCTCCAGAGTCATCTGCAAATGAGATAAGAACAAAATGACAAAAGATAGAGGAAGATGAGAAAAGAACAATCCCTAAAACTGGAAAATAAGATCTTCATTTTTATCTACACAGTTAATAAATCAAGAGTTGCAATGCCACACAGAGCACTTCCTTCCAACTTCTTCAGTTGAAGTTTTCTGAAGAAGAGAAAGCACACTGAGCAGCAGTGCTTGTCAGTTGTCATCCATTTTCCCAACAGTCTAGTGGTGTGGGTCTCTATCCCCATTTCACGACTGGGGAAATCACCTCAGAAACCTTCAGAGCTCTTAGAGTTTGAACAATGTCTCCAATGTTGTTGTTGGCCTTCCTTTCAGATGAGGGTATTTCCCTTATTTTCTGTGAAACAATTTTCATAAGGGTGGCTGTGCCTGTCAGTGCCTCTCAGCAGGTGTCTTAGACTTTGACAGAGAGCGGAGAGGGGCCCCTGTGGCAGGCCTCAGCCAGCAACATTCTCCATCTCGAAGGGCAGTTCTTAGAGCATGGAAGGAAGACTGAGGTTTCCTTCATTCTCTCTTGTCTTCATCTTTTACATCTTCACAGTGGCCCAACAGAACTCCCACTTGCCCCAACCCTCTTCCACTGATGGTAGGGTCAGAATATTTGTGCACCCCCACCCTCATGTGCTGAAATCCTATCCTTCCAGGGGATGATAGTATAAGGAAGTGTGGTCTTTGAGAGATGACTATGTCCTAAGCACGGATTCATGCCCTTATAATAGGATTAAAGCCCTTACGAAAGAGGCCCAAGCATACAGTACTTGCCCATCCTACAATGTGAGGACACAGTTGGTGACAAACCAGGAGGCAGCCCTGTGTCAGACATTAAATCTTGACCCTGGATTTCTCAGCCTCCAGAACTGTGAGATACGTTTCTGTTGTTTATAAGCCACTCAGTTTCTGAAATTTTGTTATCAATACCTGAATGGACTAAGACAACTTATAATATCTATTATTATCCATTTGTTTACTATTTTCAACAATAAAAAGGGTAAAAAGAAATAATTTAGGGAACATCGGGTAGAGCTTCCTAACTTCTAGATTTGGAACATGTAGATGAGGAGTTCAAAAAAGCTGCGGTGGCCCTTTTCCAGGAAAGCAACTGGGAGAAGGGACACCCTGCCCCACCCAGCCTATTTGGATTGGGCACAGCTCTGCCTGGAGCAGGGGGAGGCACCAAATGACCTCCACAGGCCCTGATAGTCCTGGAAGCCAGGGGCCTCCAGTGCAGCGCTGCTTGGCTGCAGATGTTCCCTGTCATCCATCAGTCAGTGTATCTGCTTGTGTGCTGCTTGTTTAAAGAGGAAGGCATTTGCTAATTGAAAACTAAAAGATCCATCTGTCTCACTCACAGCTAGCATGAAATCCACTCAGCAACGCAACATTAGGGTAAAAAAGGCAGAGCAGAGTGACAGTGTCCTTGGGTTAGTGCATCCCCATGTAGGTCATCTGGGTCCTGCTTCTGCCACCTGATGCAGAAGAGCCAATCTTCTGGTTTCAGAGCAGCCAAAGGTTGCTTGTACTACAGTTTGGCCAATGCATGAGGATCCATTATATTCAATGTAGCCCAGGAAGATAGGTATTCTTAGCCCCAATTTAAAGATGGGAACATTGAGACTCAGAGAGATTGAGTTAGGCAAAGTCCCATAACTGGGAGGTGACAGAGGCAGAATGCCAATCTAGGTTGTTCTAGGACAGTGATGGTGAACCTTTTAGAGACTGAGTGCCAAACTGCAACCCAAAATCCATTTATTTGTCACAAAGTGCCAACACTGTAATTAAACCTGAATACTGAGGTTTTAGCTTAGAACAAACAACTGTTACCTGATGCTTGGGCTGCTGGGGTGACTTGTGGACAGAGAGGGCTCTGTGTGCCTGCTATAGTAAGAGTGCTATAGGCTCACCACCACTGCTGTAGGACTAGGACTACTCTGACCCAGCCCTGCACCTATGCCGAGGTGCTGTGTTGGCAGGCACCAAGTCTCTCTTGAGTGAATTAAATATTAAACAGAATAGCCCAAGGGATACCAGGGAACACTGGGAATTCAACCTTATCTGCAAGGTTCAACTGCTTGAAGAACAAATATTTAAAATTTTGGGATTCCTGATTGTTGTGTCATCTCCCTATCAAGCCTGAAGGGCCATAGGGGTCAGTCCAAATCCGCACAATAGTGCCAAAGACAGGGTGCTGGGGAAGGGGTACTGGGAGCCTACTCACAGCTAATGCCTTTCCCCCAAATGCTTCTACAGATGGCACACTGAGGAAGTGCTGCCCTGCACCTCAGAACACAGGGACTCCTCCACTTTGAATCTCTGTGGGATTTGAAAGGAAACACTCTCTTCCTGGGCCTCAGTTTCCCATTCTGAAGTAAGGAGGAACTAGATGAATACCACAGCCCTTTCTAACCCTATTTTTTCTATAATCGTGTGGGTCATTAGGGGAAATTTAGTCTTTTGTGGCCCAGAGTGGCTCAGCCTCAGCCATGCAGGGCTCACTCCCTGCTACACACACCGGTCCCTTGTTCATGCTGTTCCCTCTGCCTGGAATGCTGTGCCACCTTCCTCTTTGGGCACATTTTGCTCCTTCAGTACCCAGCTTCTGCAAGGTCTCCTTTTAGCACCTGCTTAAGCCACAGGTATTTCCCTGGAGGTCTCCACTCTGCATTGGCAAGAGAGGGGCAGGAGCCTGGTTTTATTTCCTTCTGTGAACCCTGAATCTTACAGAGTCCAGCAAAGGGAGGACAGTCAGTAACTAATCGCTGAAGAAGACGGAAAGGAAAGGAGAGGAGAGAGGAAGGAAAGAGAGCAGAGATTTCTCTGCATCCCAAATGACCCCGGGGCAGGGCCACAGCCCAGCCCAGCGCTGCCTCTTCCTCTCCCTCCTCCTGCCTCCCATAGCACACCTCAGTTTGAGTCAAAGGTAAAGTGGAGCCTCCAAAGCCTTCTGTATTTCCATCCCGGGTCTTCTTCTTTAGGCTTTTCCTCTGCAAAAGTCAAGCAACAGAACTGGCCACAGAGCTCTCCAGACCTGAAGTCAGCAAACGGATCCCAGACTTCTGCAGACACTGCTTCCTCCCTAAAGGACTCGCTGGGTGACGGTGCCTGGGCCAACTCTTGGTCTACTCAAAGGAGGGGACGGACGAGCGGGCCTTCAGAACGCTTGACCAAGGCACCCTCAGATACGCAGTGTGCTGCCTGAGGAGCGCAGGGAGCCCTCCTGGGTCGAGCGGAGCAGGCACCCAAGCGCGCGGAGGGGCGGGGCCTGTCACAGGGGCGGGGTCCTGGGCTCCTCCTGGCCAGGGCGGCCCCGCCCCCTCCTCCCTCCTCCCTCCTCCCTCCCGCTGTCCCCGCTCTCAGGGCGCTCAGCGCCTCGGAGCTGTCCAGCCTCAGTGCCAGTGCCAGAGCCTGCTGCCTCCCGCGCGCGCCGCGCCGCCTCCGCGCCTATCCCGCGTTGCGGCCGGCCCGGCCCCGCCCCGCCCCGCCCCGCCCCGCCGCGGCCCGTCCACTGCTCCCCGCGGGCCTGAGCCGGCCTAGCGGCTGCCCGCTACAACATTAAACCTCGCGGCGGCGGGGCCGGGAGCCAGAGACCCGCCGAAGAGAGCGGCGGCCCGGGACGGCTGCCGAGGGGCGGCCGCGAGTGGATGTGGCGGGAGCCCGAAGCCTGGAGCAGCCAGCGCCGACTGCTCCCGGGCGCCCTATGGCTTGAAGGTAAGGACCAACCTGATAGCGTGACAGGCGACTCAGGGACGAGGCAGGGTCACAAGGAGAGGGCGGGGAGCTTCGAAGACTGCGACCGGGACCAGAAGTTTGTCCGGCCACTCCGGCGTCATCCGCCCGGGAGCGCTCAGGGGGTGTCCCGAACCCAGCGGCTGCCACCCCCCTCCCTCCTTCCGCCCAGGCGGGAATCCTCGGCCCGGCACGAGCGGATACAACCCGGGCAGCTTCTCCGCGGAGCGCGGAGGGAGCCCCTTGGAGGGCACCAGTTCCGGACGACCTGGGAGGGCACTTTCCTCCCTGCACCGGAGCTCGGGATCCTCGGGCACATAGCCAGTTTCCCACTGCCCCAAAAGAAGAAGAAAAAAAGGGTTGTTGTATTGATGCAACCCGAGACTTTTCAGTTTCACAGGGCAAAAGTCAGGAGAGAGGGCTATGCTCTCCCACCCTGGGTTTAGCGCTGTCCTTGGTTCTGAATTTCCATTCTCTTCTGGCCTGTCTCTGACACCCAGTTGGGGAAAAAGCCTGGAATCTGTGAGTGCGGGCGACCATTGGAGCAGTGGCAGTGGGCGACTGTCCAGCTCTGGAATGGATCAAGAGCCCCGCTAGCTCAGAGTGCGCAGACAAGAGGCTGCTCTAAGCTCCAGACACAGCGCATCCCGTCCCTGTCTGTGGCAGGAAGACTTCGAATGGTTCTTCCAGAGGTGTAGAGGCAAGAGGGTGCCTGTGCATCTACACAATAGGCTTCCCCATGGACATGAGTCACAGTGTGGCTCCTCCGTAGGGACAAGCCCTTGCTCTTAGACAGGAAAGCTGTCTGAGCAAGTCACTCTTGCCCCACCTGTCACCTCAGTCCTTTTGGTGCTGGGCTTCCTGAGGATAGGTGAGGTGCAAGGTACTTAGCAGATCTTTCCCCAGATCCTTCTGCACATCCAACCATTTCTCAATTTTGACCAGGCTGCAAATCTTTCAGGCGAATCCTTGCTCTTTTCCAGGGAACTAGACATTCAGTGATCCTTCCCACCACCAGATGCAAATACTCGTGCTTAACCCTGATTCATCCTGCAGCATTAGGACCACTTGAAAAAGAAAGCATCCTTTTCATTTTTCCCATGTACTGCTGTTTGATGAGGGTGGGTAGAGAAAGGCCTTTGTGAAATGTGACCCATTTCAAGTGAATCAGCTAGCTGGCTTGTTGGATTTCAACCCCTGCCTTGAACTTCTTTGCTTAGTGTTCAAAATACATGGCATATTTCTTTCCGGGAGATGTTGATTCTACTTCTGGACTCAGACATCTGAGATTTGGGAGGGTTAGGCCTATCTAGTGCCAAATGAGGGTCATGGCAGTCCCAGCCCGGTCTCTTGAAGAATGTTCTGAGTTTTTCCACCTTCCTTGCACAGCCTGAAGATGAAAAGTGACTCGAAATTGAAGAAATTCTGACCTGTTGTAGAGGTCCTATGCAATATTTCTCTAAGGGATTTTAAAAAATGAACTCCCTGCATTTGAATAATCTGGGAAGCTGTTAAAAATGCATATTTTTACTTCTTCCCCGAAGAAGTGCTGAATGAAAATCTCAAGCTGAAGCCCAGGTGCTTATATTTTAAGCAATATTTCTGAATTGTTGGTATGTACGCTGGTTAGGAAATCACTTCCCATAAAAGTTCAGACTCCTTAGAGAGTCTGTGGATGTTTTGAAATTAAAGTATTTTATTTATCCCATTATCCCCTGAAGTTGCACATGCTAAATTCCTCAAGTGTGGGGCTGTTGGTTGAAGGATCATTCACCTGATTCAATCTCTTTGCTATACTAATGGGTGTGACTAGATCTCTCCCCCAGGATCCCACTGTTTTTTTCTCTGTAAAATAAATTTTTGACTTCTCTAGGAATCACCAATATGGCTGCAAGTAGGTTTGAGTAAATACTAACTAATTGCCCCTCTCTGGGGGCCAATCTGGTGTGTCACTCCTGCCCTCCTTCTGGGTGAGTTTGGTCTTTCATTATGCATGTGCTGTGATCTGCAAACACAACTGCTCCTGAAATGCCAAGGAATGATTATGTCAGCCTAGAAACACATCACGCTCCCCAAAGCTGGTAGCCATTCATGCCCTCCTGGCAGTGACATATTGACTATATTGATTTAATTCTTGTGCTCCATAAACTGGGAGGTTTGTGGAGGTGAATCAGCCAGCAATGATGCTTGTGGGTTAGGCAGTCTCCTCCTTCGCTCTCAAGGCTTTGAATTATTTCTGTCCAGAACAACAATTATAATTTTGAGAATGATGCAGGAGAACCTGAAAGTAAGAAAAATCCTTCCATTCTTTCTCTTATACCAAGAAATGCAAAGAGGAGCTTAGGGTCTCATCAGAAATAGGGCTTCAAATGCTACTGGGATTGACCTGTGGAAGCCAGACTGGTGTGATGTCACCATTCTCTGGGTAAACAGACATAAGGGAAAGGACATGTGACTCTCTCTGGAGAGAGCTGTCTTCATCTCCCCTGCAAGAAAAAGTCATATTTTGGTGTTGAGACAGAAGTGTGTCTGTGAAGATAGCACTGTGTGTGTGTGTGTGTGTGTGTGTGTGTGTGTGTGCATGCACGTGCATGGGGGGTATAATGAAACCTCCTTGAGCCAAAACTTCCTTCCTAGTGTCTCATATTTTCTGACATTCAGCTCTCTAGTTCTCCCTCTTTCTTGGTTTAATACCTATGAATCTCCAGCAATGAAGGTGTTTCAGCACCTAGGAAGGGAGTGGAGAATCAAAGTTGAGATTTTATAAAGCCAAGACTCCAAGGTGTATCTGCATTATCTCCCAGAATCAGGTTGTATACCAGCAGGTTGCAATAACCTAAGATTTGAAGTCTTGAAAAGAATTTAGCAGAGTGGTCCAGTCTCTTGCATTTCCCTTGAGACATTGTTTACAGGGCTTTAGATTTCTTAGATTATTTGGGTTTCTCAGATGTTTTCCAGAATGCCTTTGTGTCCCAAAAAGGCAGTTGCTCTGAAATACTTAGTCTCTCTCCCACTATTAAAGTTGTCTCAAAAAGGATTTAACTTAGTGGTGCTGTGCCTGCCTTGTAAGTGCAAGTTCCTGAGTTCAATCCCTGGTACCAGGGGGGAAAAAAGAGTGGTGTTAAGTTTCTAGTTCCTGGGCCCAAAGATTGGACTCATCAACCAGGGTTCTCCATCCCACCAAGTGCTCTACACGTAGAAAACATTCAGAACCCACAAGCAACAGAAAAGGCATAACTTGACTCAGCTTCTTAGTTGGAACCCTCCTCTGTACATGACTTGTTACATAGATGACTCGCAGAACCATGTTCCTTCCTCTCACCATAGCTTCTCAAGAATGCATCTTATGGCCCTAGGAAGATCACCATGATGCATAATGGAACCACTAAAGATGTTGTTTATTTGCCATTCTGGATAGTGGATGGATATTGTCCCCATACTCTTTCAGTTCCTCTAATATTATAGAATCTAATGTTAATATACCCCTGCCTTTCGCCTGACTCCATCACCCATGTAGTTGAAAATTTCTTTCTTTTTCTTTTTCTTTTTGATACCAGAGATCAAACTCAGGACCTTATGCTTGGGAGGCAGGCTGCAGAACCACTGAGCTAAATTGCTGGCCCTCTTTCTTATTTTTTAACAATAGAATCATATAATCTAAATGCATAGGTGTAGAAAATAGTTTGATTACAGAGCTGGTATAATGGGGATGGAGAAGAAATAAAATTGTAAGATTCAGCCACTTGGTTTGCTTCTGTTTGGACCCAGAGAAGAGAGAAAAACTTGGCCTGTGGACTGCAATTTCCTTCTTGTCCCTTTCAGCTCTCAGTCTGACAACTGGGTTAAATCAACACCCTTGGCAGCCAGGGTGCTCCTGGGAGTGTGCACCCTCTTCCCTCCCTAGAGACATGTGAATGTGTCTTGGCAGAGGAGCCAAGGCTCTTGCTGGCTCTGTATGGGAGGAGCCAAAGATGACTCAGTAGGGCCTGGGGACTCCCTTCTTCCCAGATGGAAGAGCCTGCACTGCTGAGGTGTCCCAAACTTAGAGACCTGGAGGCTGCTGGGAGTGTTTGGGAGAGTACTGGGCAATATATGAAGGTAGGAGCAGAGAAGTGCTCCTGGGAGCTCCCAAAATAGACTGATGTTAAATATGCATTGAATATAGGCATCAGCTCAGTGCATTTACAGCAATTTTGTTATAATTTGTTGTCACTGGCAAGGATTTTTACTTTTCCCAGGAGGAGACAAGGGAGATATTTGTTATCTATAGGGATGGGAAGGGAAGAAGAAGGACCTTCATTTTTCTGGAGCCCAGTGAATGATGCCAGTATGCTTGCCAATGGGATGATGGTGAAGTCAGGAGACTCAGTCCCAGAGGCCCTATCACCAGGTCTCTAGTCAGTCCTGCCCTCCAGGACTACCCTAGCACAGAGCTGCAGCTGCACCCCTGAAGACTCTCCCCTGTAGATGTCTGGGAGACAAAGTGTATCCTAGGGCTTGTCCATTTGTCACCCAGCTCCTTCAGAATGTGCCTACCCTTCTCATTTCCATCCCAGCCTTGTTGTTATTGTTTGGGTCTAAGTGGCCCAGCAGGGGAAAAGCATTAGAAATGAAATTATTTTTGTTGCACGCTGTATAATTGCCTCCATTTCTCCCTGCTACCCCAGGCAGCAACATCACTAGCAATTCCATGGGAGCCCTTAGTCTGGAAAAGTGGCTTACTCCCAGGCTTCCGTAGAATGGCTACTTTTGACCAGTGGTCCTGTCTGCCAGTCCCTCCACTGCTGGCCTCATTGTCATAACAACTGATATTTATCACACACGTGCTGTGTGCAGGGCACTGTGCACAGCACCTGACATGTGTTTTTCATTTCAATTCCTGATCCCACAACAACTCTATAAAATAGGAACCTTTATCCTCCTGCTTTCGCAGAAGAAGAAGCTCGGGTTTATAGAGGTACATGGCTTGTCCAAGATCACAT